TCACCCTTACTTATGGTATTTCACATGATATGTTAAAAACATTCGTTTGTAACAATTAATTAATTAAAATTAAGTTAATTGTTTATATACTTATTTATACTTTTTTTTTAAAATAATCTATAAAGAATGTAATATAATTTCATTTTATATTTTATAATCAAATCCTTTTGAAAAAAATCCAAACTTTAAAAAACATGTGTCCAACTAAAAGTACCTTAATTCTTAGTATTTCAAAACTATAACATATTTAGTTATTTATTTACATATTGTATATGTTTAATTACAAATAATTAATCATATATTTTTTATTATCAAGAATGGCATTAATTTTCCATATTTACAATAAAATTCTAAACCCTATTGCATCACATGTATAGATGAGTTCACAACTGATATATGCCTATATTATTTTATTAAGCAAATTTAGCAAATGTCTTAAAGTCTTAAAATATTAAATGACCAAAATACCTTTTATACTCATCTTTTCACTTTTTCATTTTTTCACCCCATCATCTCCTCACATACACTCACATTCTCACAACCGATTTTTTTAAAATTATAATTTTAAATTTACATTTTATACTCCTATAATTAATTAATTAATTTACTTTACGTCCTTTACTTTTAAATATTTTATTTTAAACATTTATCAAATTAACATACATAATCGTATATCAATTAAAACATGTTTAAAAAAATACATTTTTATTTTAACAAGTTATACCATTATAATCGTCTCGTTAATACCTTCGAAATGAGTCGAATATTGAATAGTTTTTGACTTAATTATATTATTATATATTATATATACTGTGAAAAAATATTTTTAATATTTACGATTTATACTTTTATAGTTATTTATTTATATATATACTATATATTTTGGGGTTAGGCTGTCCAAATTGCACTGTATATATGTTTTGAATTAACATGTTCTTGGGTTTTTTTGAAATATATATATACATGTATTAATTCTACCTTAATATGAGTTTCTGGACAAGAAAGATGGTAAGCAGGTAAAATTTCATTCTAAAACCCATCTTTTTTTGTCTTTTCATGGCTTATGATCTGTCAAATTTGTAGTTTTCTTTATTGGTTTTGAGTGTTTATCTTAAAACTCAAGTTTCTTGGTTATTTGCTTTTGGTGTAAATCAAATACATTTGTAGAGTCGTTTAAATATGTTGGATTTTAAATATATTGGATTTTAAATATATTGGATTTTAAACTGTCATACAATTTTTTTCATCGATAGTCTGTAATTGAAACCATAACTCTTATTTATTCAAATTGTATTAATATGTAAATACCAAGTGTAACCTATATCATCGTTAAATCTTATCTTATAAAACCAGTGGAGCTTCAAAATTGTTAAAATTCATGGCTTCCGCCGCATTGCGCGGATACACAACTAGTATATATATATATATATATATATATATATGTGTGTGTGTGTGTGTGTGTGTGTGTCCCTGTGAGAGAGAGAGAGGGGTATATATAATACG